TGTGAGTGAGTGTGTGAGTGTGTGTGTGTGTGTGTGTTTTCTCTCTCTGGCAGAAGAACTGAATGACTCGAGTCTGTCTGTCCTGAATCTGGAGCCGGCCGAATCTCTTCCCGACCGCAGCACCAGCGCTGATATGGTGAGTGTGCTGCATTAAAGCCTCATTTGACTTGCAGATTTGAAGTGTCCCACCTCACAGGATTTAGCGGCCCACTGAAACTCCATTATCCAGCTGAAGTGCTGCAGAAATACCCTAGAAAGCAGCACTATATATGTAACCAGGCCACTTACTCGTCCTACGAGGTAAAGAGCACGGATACATCAGTTTTAAAGTGTTTAAATGCAACACTTCAGTCCATTTCTGGTCTTTTTGCATTGATCTAGGGCCGCACAATTTGGGGAAAAATCGAATTGCGATTTTACTGTTAAAATTCCAATTTAAAATGCATTTAAAAGAAAATTCCAGCTTGGTATGCTTATTTGTAGAGCTAAAGGTTTGTGATTATATGGCTATAAAATAATAATAATGATTATTATGACTAATATAAAACGAAATAAAAATATAGAAATGACTAAATAAAAAAATTAGAAATATTACTATTGTAATATTTCACTGTAAAAGGTATTTAAGAAAAAATTACAGCTAAAATTACAATAATAATATTTATGGCTGTCTTATGAGAGGCCTACATTTAATGTGTGAAGAATTTAGGTTTTTATTTTATAAAAAAATAAAAATACAATGTTAAATATCGATTGACAGCACTAATATATATATATATAGCTATAAAACTATAATAATAATAATAATAATAATAATAATAAATACTACTACTATTATAATTATTTCCAAATAAAAATATAAAAAATACTGAATACCTAAATAAAATAATAATCATTTAATAATTTAATAAAACGTTAATAATAATAATAAATATTATTATTATAACCAAATAAAAATATAACTATTACTAATGTAGTGTCTCACTGTAAAATAAAAAAAAATATTTAAGAAAAATTCTATATTCAAAAATCAAGATTTTTGTGATATTAATATATATATACATACAATAAAGTTTTGATTTCATAAAAAAAAAAGTATATTTATATATTGATGTCATACAACTATTTAATTGTGTTGAAATATTTAGATTTATTTTACTATTTCTCTTTTTTTCCAGGCCAGAGAGAATGGGAAAGTGGTTTAGATGGGAAATGATATCACTCACATCTGGAGCGAAACGTCATGCACTAAAACCAAAACAAACAGAAGAACGAACATATCTCTTGCTAATGTTTCTGACTGATTCGGGCCTGTCTGAGTCATTGCTCACACGACTCTGTGTTCGGAGTATTTCTGGGAGCGTTTGAGCGTCGTGTTGTTTATTGGATGCTGAACGCTGAAAACACTGGTTGTGATTGTTCTGCTTAGTTTATCTTCTCGTAGGTGAAAGATTGTTAATGCTTCAACGCACAGTTAACCTTCATCTGAGCCACCAAACCCAAAGCTCCGATGGTTTTTTGGTGGTTTGGTGGGATTTCAGTCTGAAAGCACTACAAACGACTTGAATGTGTAACTTCATGAAGTTTAGTGGAACAAACCCATAGACACGGTGTGCATTTAGACTTAACCAGCACACTAACTGACTAACCTAGTCTAGTACTCTTCATCATAACTACATCATAATATGTCTGACAGAAGCCTTTATCATATTCTTCATAAGCACATGTGTCGTGGGGTTTAGTGTGGATAGTTCACAAGGATGGTTCAAGTATGTTAATTAGCACTTTATTTTGTATGAATGAACTGAAAGGTATTAAACCAGTTGTTTGGTTTTGCTATCTGATTAAAAATGAAGGACTATTACGGTCTAAATGTATTTAGTTTTACAAAAGACTGCAGAATGTTTACGACATGAACGTGTTTTAGTTACAGGCCGGTCGGTTTGAAGCAGGTTTACTTAAACTGCTAGTTTAGCGCTCAGTAGTTTATTGTTTGATTGTAAATGGCAATGAATTATGATCGTACTGATGTTCATCTTCACCACGTTTCTGTATTTCTGAGTCCAGACGAGTTGGACGGCGTTACGGTTTGAAGAACACACTTAACGGTTTGATGTTTTAAGTGACTAAGGGTTTGGTTTTGCTATCTGATTAAAAATGAAGGACTATTACGGTCTAAATGTATTTAGTTTTACAAAAGACTGCAGAATGTTTACGACATGAACGTGTTTTAGTTACAGGCCGGTCGGTTTGAAGCAGGTTTACTTAAACTGCTAGTTTAGCGCTCAGTAGTTTATTGTTTGATTGTAAATGGCAATGAATTATGATCGTACTGATGTTCATCTTCAACACGTTTCTGTATTTCTGAGTCCAGGCGAGTTGGATGGCGTTACGGTTTGAAGAACACACTTAAGGGTTTGATGTTTTAAGTGACTAAGGGTTGATTTTTATATTGTCACTTTTCTGTATTTTGTGTTCATTTGGTTTTGAAATGAATGCTAAATATAAATAATAAGCATTAAAAGCTTTTACCAGCCCTGTATTGTGATGCTTGCACTGATTTCACTGGACAAAATATTAAAATGCACTCAAATTATACCTACAACGAACCTGATTTATGAATTTATACCAACAATATCTACCTGTAAAAATTAAATTAAGATTTTTTTAAATTACATTTTTTTTTATATTTCTTTATTAAAATTGTAAATGTCTTAATTACATTTAAATTAAGTGTATTACCTTTAAATGTCATAATATTTGTGTTTTAATGACAGTCAACACATTTACATTAAGAATAAATCTTTTGTGGCGTAAAGTTTATTTTATATATGTTTAATTTTTTTATTTTTTTGTTTTATAATCAGAGACAATACATTATATACTGTATGTGTGTATACATATATATAAAGTGTTATGTAATGATATACATTATTAATAATAACATTTAAATGAGCAATGGATTGTTTGAATTTAGCAATAAAACTTAATGTTTTTATATAATAATTTAACGTGTGTGTGTGTGTGTGTGTATAATTATTTTATATAAATATTGAGATTAAGTACACATATAAAACTTGAGATTGTGACTCATATTGCGATGCTTTATTTTACATGATATTCAGTGAAACACATTATATGCATGAATTAATTCTTAGTTTGTATGTAGATATTTCCGGTAAGCTCTCTTGATTCCAGCTATCAATTGTTTATAATTTATAATTATTTTCCAGCATCACTTTGTTTTGACCTGCTTCTCTCACCTGATCCCTCCAAGGAGGCGGAGCTTATCACACTTCACTAATTAATTATTTTGATGAAGTTGATTTACTTGCTCAGTCCATCTGGATGTGCTAAAATAACCATTGCTGTGGACAGTTTGTGTAGTAAATGTGAAACCCACTTCTACAGCAATGACATTTGTGCAACAGACAGATACTAATAAAATTGCTGTTTTGAAGAAGCAGTCCTGCATCAGAGCTCTGCGTTCAGTTTAATGCAGGATCTTTTGGGATTAGTGTCTTATTATTTTTAAAAGCCTCCCATCGGCCGGTTGCTCTGGAAATCACTCCCTGTTCTCTTCAAACACGGCTTTGTCTTCTGTTACTCTTTTAATTACCCTTTTCCAGCAGGCGCGCTCGGGGACGGCATCATCCGCGGGGACCTTCAGCGGGACGCTCACATGAATTATGATCATCATGGTCCGGATTATAGATGAAGGTACTGTCATCTGCTTGCATTTGGTCAAATATTATACTCATGTCTAGTGAAAAAGCAAATACATTCAAGAAAGTATTTGAAACATCACTCCATGAGCACTGATACAGTCAATATGAAGCAAACTGAAGTTGAATCACATCACAAGCACTGAATCTTGGTGTAAGTCGCACTAATGCCTTTCACATTGACAGTAATTGTTTTTTAACCATTTGCTTAATTGTATTGTTTATAGTTAAGAGGTTTAAGAGTGAGTCTCCTAAAAATTAAAATACAACATTTATAATAAAATGTATAATGTCTAAAATATACATTTTAATGATTTTATTTTGCATAATTTTTCATTTTAATTTGAAAGTTTTTAATACATGGAATATATTAAAATGGAGCATTTTAAGAACCATTAATGTTTTTTTTATGTATATTTATAGAGAGAGTGGTATATAATGGTATGCATTATATATAATAGTATACAGTATAATATATACCTTAATATATTTGTAGATTTGTTTTATTTCTTAATTTTTATATTTAATTTTAAAATATTTTAATAAATAAATAAATGGAGCCACATCACAAGCACTGAATCTTGGTGTAAGTCGCACTAATGCCTTTCACATTGACAGTAATTGTTTTTTAACCATTTGCTTAATTGTATTGTTTATAGTTAAGAGGTTTAAGAGTGAGTCTCCTAAAAATTAAAATACAACATTTATAATAAAATGTATAATGTCTAAAATATACATTTTAATGATTTTATTTTGCATAATTTTTCATTTTAATTTGAAAGTTTTTAATACAAGGAATATATTAAAATGGAGCATTTTAAGAACCATTAATGTTTTTTTTATGTATATTTATAGAGAGAGTGGTATATAATGGTATGCATTATATATAATAGTATACAGTATAATATATACCTTAATATATTTGTAGATTTTTTTTATTTCTTAATTTTTATATTTAATTTTAAAATATTTTAATAAATAAATAAATGGAGCCTTTTTAGAACCATTAAGGACTCTTAAGATTTTTGATTCTATATATTATTAATATTAAAACAAATGTGTGCGTACGTTTGCATATAAATAATAGTGGTATATATTATATATAGTAGTATACTGTATGTTTATATATAGTCTTTTAGCATTTAAATTAGCATAAATTATGTTTGAATTTAGCAACAAATCTTATTGGGGTTTTTATAATTTTGTATTGTTTTTTTTATTTTATATTTATTATTTAAATTTTAAAATATTGCTATGTATAAAATTGAGCCTTTTTAGGACCATTAAGATATTAAAATTAATTTAGGGCTGTCAAATCGATTAATTGCAACAAATCACATCCAAAATGAAAGTTTGTGTTTACATAAAATATGTGTGTGTACTGTGTATTATTTATAGAATTATTTACATGTGTGCATATATATATATATATGTTTTTTTTTTTTTTAAATATGTGTACACAAACTTTTATTTTGATGTGATTAATCAGTTTGACAGCACTTAATATATTTTTGATGCAGTTTTCTCTTACTGAGAGTTTCAGCACTGACACATTTTAAGCTCTTTAACATTATGGGCATTTGCACAGTTTGTTACTGTCTTTTTATAGTCAATTGAAGACCTGAAGGGAACATCAGTCCTATAAAAAGCCTGTAGTGCTTATAACCACCAGTTATTCCAGAAATGGGACAAAAAGCCTCGCAAAATCCACTCGGTGCGAGTGTCAGAAATGAGTGCAGCTTTGGCCCTTTCCTTGTCTGCTGGCAGTGAATGTGCTGCAGTGCGGTGGTCTCTCGGCGCACATTGGATTATATCATGAGCACCTGCAGACGCTGATGGGAAATCAGGGTCAGGAACGGCCAGTGATGGGTTACAGCACTCTTCAGTTTAAGATTAATAATGCATTTCAGTCCGCTCTGACTGATGATAATTGAAAAAGCCCATTATGAACATGCAACATAATCCTGCACTTTCTTTCAAACAGCAGCTTTTACTGTATTCAGTGGTTCTCAAATGGTTTTGCTTCAGGATGCAGATTTAGCGACTCAACACATCGTTTATCATACAGAAGTACCAGACATTAGGCTTATTCATATTGGCGTGAACTGCTTGAGCCAAATATGGAATATTAATAACATGACAGTTTTATGAATGCATAATCAACATGAGAACTAACACCGAGTTGATATTGTATTAGTATTGAATTTACAGTCATAGAGTTTGATTGGACACATGATTTTTGAACAACAAATGATATAGGAGGTGTTTTTAACTGATTTATTTGGCTGTTCAGCTACACACAATTTTAAGATTAATTGTGCTTTATTAATTGCATTTAACACTAATCGGATCGAACCTTCAACCCACCAATTGAGAACCACTGATTCAACGTGCATGCAAGAACTTGCTTGGTTTGTATATGATTCACTTGTATGTACGTGAGTTGATGAAAAGCAAGTTAAATCAGGAAAAAATTAAATAAATAAAAAAACTAAACCTAAATTAATTCTTCAACACTATAATGAGAATTTGTTAAATTATTGAAAATTAACAAAAATCTCAGGGGGACTTCAAGTAAATATTTTAGGTCAAATAATGTGCAAATAAGATGTAATCATGTAATCCATAGAAAAAGTAACTGTAATCTGAAAATGTAATCTGATTACAAGTACATAATACAGATTACATGTAATCAGTTACTACCCAGATTCCAAAAAGTAAGTACTTGTAATTAGATTATATTTCATTTTAAAGTGCTCATAATCAGATTACATTTATTTTTATGGATTGCTTGATTACATATTATTCACACAATGGCAGTGAATTATTCATAATTTACTGTTTCTCCATAATTCTTATTTTTTTCTCTTTTAAAGTTTCCTTTCTAAAAATCTTACTGTGTCGTACCATTTAGCTTTGACTATATTCACAATATAGAATGGCATTGTAAATGTCATGTAAATAAACTAGCGATCCATGCTTCTGAATTTGGGGGGAAAACACTATAAAAACAAATCATTATGAAATGTATTATTGATTATGAATGGTAAATTTAAAACGAGTTAGGTAAAAACTCATCTATGAGTAATCTAAAAAAGTACTCAGAATACATAACCAAAAATGAGTAACCCGTAATCTGTAATCCGTAACGGACTACAATATGTAAGTAATATACCCAGTACTGCATATGCATATGATTTATATATATATATATATATATATATGCATATTTGCTTCCTTTTGAATAAGATGCTCTTTTGAAATCCAATTCAATCTAGTTAAAGCCTTGCAAATCAGATCTACAAGAAATATTAATTTTGTCTTTGCAAAATACACTGCCAATGATGCTAAATGGTTGCTAGGGTGTTCTCGAGTGAAAATGATATCATCTGGTCTCTGTATGTGGCTCGAGTTGGATTTTTGTCGCACACATTCAACTTCACTACTTAGTGCTGGAGGTTTGATCACATGACTATCAGCACTAGTACTAGTGAGGACTGACTCGGTAAACACCTCTGATAATTGATTCTCAAGGGGGTTTTGTGCACTTGAAGTGCGCAAACTGACGTTTGTATCATTGATTTGTACCCACAGCTGCTGAATCAATCGTCTTCAATCACAGGACGAATCTAAAAACATGTCCAAAACATCTTGTTTACAGGAAGTGGCTGCTTAATAGTACAAGTGCGGTCAAAGTATACAGTTGCACCACAGCATCAACAGATTTAGTGGTGGGTGATTTGAACGAACTCTTTCAGCGTTTAACTCCTTATCTTAGAGTTGAAGGTGGATTTTTGACATTTGGGTGAATATGCAACTGCATATCAACTCACTAAAAAAACTATTCAAAACATCTTTAGCATCTGCATTGCACGTTCGAATTAAATGGCAATTTTTGCACAGGTGTTTTCCATAAATGTGCAGTACAAACGCTGTTTTGTATCTCTGTGGTCGAGTTGCACAAATTTCTCCCAGATATTTTCCGGCCTGTGCTGTAACAGGTCAAAGAGCCGCCGCTGAAAATAGAGCAGGATTGTGTAATTCCTGCTTTTGACTTCAGAAGTCAATCAATAAGCCTTCATACTGTACAGAGAGAGAAAGAAGCATTACTAAACATGCATGGATCACTAGATGTGACTCACTAGCAAACAGTTAGAGACCGATGACAAATAAGACGGATGAGGGTCACAATTATGAGGCCAGAAGACACAGAAGAGAGTGAAAATGTGTTGCTGTGAAGCTCAAAGAGCTGTTAATGACTGAAAAATGACCCTATTCTGACCAATTAACGGAAGCGCCAGTCGTGTTTTGCACAAAAGTCGGCATTAACCCAATCTTGCGTTGATTTTGGGTTAATGCAGGATTAAACAGTGCGCTCACCTTAACTAACCTGTAATTCCGTTACCTTGCCAGCTTGTTTTTAATCTAGTCAAAGTGATTGATGTGCCACCCAGATTGGCTTATATAACACAAGAGCATCTTTCTCTTTAACCCCTTGTGCAATGAATGGAAGTGAGTGTGTGTAGTTGTATGTTGTTTATTTACCATTACGGTGATGTATTCTACACCTATGGTACATCATTTGTTATAAAAATGATCTAGTGATGCTAAACGTCTCCAGAGCTTGTATGTACATTACTAAACAATACATTTACATGGATATTTGCACATACCTGAGCATCGACACAGGTTCCTCTAACATAAGAATCCTGATTAAATTGTTAACAGGTTTAGTTGAAATTCATGCAAGCTTTTAGAGTTGATATTTTAAAAGCTTGTCCCCATCCCACCCCCCACCCCCCAAAAAAGAATGGCTGTTCGAATCAAGGCATTGAGCGCATTGGACATTCGCTTCGGATGATACGCTCCCAAAATATCAACTGCAAGGAGATGCCGAGTATTAAGGCGAAACAAAACAGGTTATATATGAAGGGTTAAACACTATCAGAGCCTCTGCTATATAGGCTATGCGTCGGTGTACGGCCTCGTGAACGTTTCCAAGTCTCAAACTTAGGTCTTAGGTCTTTCTGTGCCGTTTATTTGAGTGAGTTTGTCTAGAGTCGTCCTCAAGCGACGTTGCGCGCTCGTCCCAGTGCGTCTCCGGCTGCGCGTCTCCAGTCTGCTCTCTCCTGGAGGACTGTGTTTTCGCTGCAGTCTGGCTGTCTGAGATGTCGCTGGGCATGTATGTGTAGAGATCCGCGGGTTGGGAGTGCGCGCTTTTGGAGAGGGACGCGGCCGTCTGCTCCAGAGACGCGTTGGTGCCGGTGGCGTTGATGTGGGTCGGCGTCGCCAGAGTGCTGTTGCTCTCCGTTCCGTTGCCGCTCGCGGTGGTGGTGGGGGTGGGGGTGGGGGTGGAGGTGGAGGTGGA